CGAATAGTGGGATTGACCGTCACATTATAACGCCCCCACGGCTGAAAGGGCGAGCATGTTTGGTGGGATGCAGATTCGAACCCGCGACCTTCAGATTGTGAGTCGAGCACCTTATCCACCTGGCCATGCCGGGCATGTTGTATAATGCAAGATACAAATTGGCTTTGATAAAGTTATGGAAAGTAGATGGGTTGTGTGAATTCAAAAAGAAGAAAAGAACAGAGCCAGGCCACAGAAGGTTGTCCTATTCAGAGGCTACTGAAGTAGTTGAACTAAATGAAAGTGACCTATCTAATTAGGACATAGACTTATTGTATAAACTGATGACAAAATTAGGTTAATATTATGAATTGACGAGATTAATGGATTACAAAAAGTAAACAGTAGAGAACAAAATTAACCCTCTCAACAGGGCTCACTCAATTTGACCAACCACGTGACCTCTTTGTACTCATTTAGTCTTTACAGATTTAATACTTCTAACTTTCAATATAGTGTGTATATTGACAGTCTTTCACACACAAAAAATCGTATTTTTGAGAGAATTATTTTTAATAAAATAAAATAAAGACTTGTCCATTAATATATTGAGTATTTGTTTTGAATAGTCTGTGTGCAAAGTAATTTTCATGTTATAATTAAAAATACTTTTCTTCATCTCAAAAATCTAAAATTTCCTTTTGTGTAATCTGTAAAACCTTCTAAATACATTTCAAACGTTTATTTTTCAGTAAAACTTTATAGTTTATGTGTTATTTTCTCTACCCTATCTCAAAACGGGATCAGTCAATTCGACCAACTTCGTAACCACCAAAAAAATCTAAATTACCCTTTTTTTCCTTTCCAGAATAACTTCACATTGTAACATAAAACTACATTCGTTTATCCTAAATAGCTCTAAGTTCATAACAGTATTCATCTATTTATAATTAAATTTTATGGGTTTATTGCCCTTTAAACCGTGTCTAACTAATCCGCGCCATTATAAGTTGTAAATCACTCGGGGAACATGTAGCTCACTTTACACTATGGAATTACATTACCCACGAGTTGCTCCCGCGCGTGCCTCGTGAACCATTTTAATTATATTATTATTATTACTAATTTTACCTAATCTAATCTTAACTCACTTAATAAGATCCGTAGTTTTAGATTTTAGTTACTTTTATAATAATAATAATAAATAAAGAATAAATATGAAAAACAAAAAATAAAGTACTTACCAAATCTTCTTTTTTCTTGTTCTGGGGTTTAGGATGAGAGTTAACCATAATTTTATATACTATAGGTAGTAATGCACTTAATAATGTTTATTTAATCAAATAATACACCAAAGAATATAGACTAATAACATGCAAAAAGTAAACAAATTCATCCAAACTAATTGTTACTAAATTGGGTTTCTGATTATTATTAGTTGTGATTATTCCACTGCTGCTTAAAGGGAAACCAACTGTCTGGAAGCAAAGACCGCCAATCAATCAATAGGGCTATTGATTAACAATTAGCAAATACCAATAATCACCCAGCTATAAACACAGTACACTAACAAGAGAAAAAAATGTATATCAATGATACTGACCTAATGCATGATATATTGTGGAAGGAGACTTTCAATATTTTCCAAGAAAGTGGAGAAACTCACACAGAAAATAATTGATATTATAAACAGGATCCAAAACCACAACCTCAAGACAGTCGAAAACCAGTGTTTAATTTTGGCAGGATCTCTCCAGATCTCAGTTCCAGAATTTGTTTTGAATTTTTTTAATGACAAAAACACTGATTAATTTCAAGACTGTATTGACGTCACTGTCAAATGATATTTGACTGACATAATCAACTGAATCTTCCAGCCCCATTCCAAATAATAACATTTACATTGTTAGATTCAAATCTCAATATCCCCAACTGTAAACACGGATCCAAATCTGTGAAACGTTTGTGAACATATGCGATCTAAGATTGATATTGCAATCCTTCACAAAAATTATTAATATTGTTATGACAGTGGAGGTCTCGTGATGCTGGTAACATGTAATGAGTATCTAGAAAGATCGAGGAACTTGTCGAACGTCCTAGCAGTTGCTAGAATGGCACTCTTATAGTATAT